AGATATTTTTAAATACTCGATGAAATAGTGATGAAGGGTAATCGAAAAAAATGCTGCCTTTAGGTTGTTTGCGTTACGCGAACTTACGAGTTGCGGAGAAATCACCTTGTTCAGATTTTTAAACTGGTAAAGTAATGTCTCTGAAAAGATGGGAGGTCATCATTTGTAAAACGATATACTTATCGATGTCACGCAAAGCAGAGAACACCGAAATGAGTGATGGAAAGTTATCACTAGTATGCCATGATTTCTTACACCTCGGATAATCCTGAATGTTCTCGGGTACTAATGACTAAATGATTAACGATCCAGCGTCAGAAATTGATTGAGGAAAGCTTAGGGTGAGTAGAAATCTAGATATATTAGTTCAGATGTGATAATCTCTCGTCAGCATCATGATTCATCATGCTCTTCATCGGAATATATGTAGATGGATGATACCTGTCAAACATTTCATCGAGGTACATGTTGAATTTCAAGTGTTTGGGAAAAGGTTAGTCGAACTGCGAACGTCCATTAAACTGTTTAAAGCTTGTTTTCGTTTAATCAGAGTTAGTAAACGACAGATTTACGCCCTCTGCATTCTGGGCACAGGTGCAGTCAAATGTCATTTTAAAATCGTTTTGTGATTTTTCGCCTGTTACAAAGAGTATTAATGATAAGACATGTATATGAATATGGTAAGGCTGTCATATGGTAATATTCTTGGTACCTAAATAAATTGACTGATACCGTAAGGTGTAGAAGAATGATGATAAATTTAAAATCCATTCAGAACGATTCCACGGGAATGTACAAACTGACTTTACGAATCCCAGTTATTTGGCATTCAAGTGGATAAATGTGTTGTTTGCTTTCCTCTTCCTTTACTTATATCATCCATCAAGCATTGCCTGCATTACGATACCGATCATCTTACCCTGCGTTTAAGGGGTAGGCGGCATGATGTGAAGCTCACCATACTTTCTTTGAGAATTAATATGCTTAATGGTTTTTCTGTTTGCAATTTAATCGGCAACAGGGTCAAAACAGATGGTTCTGTTGCCGACAGTAACAAAATGTTTTATTTAATTTAAACCAGTTTCATTAAGCTAAAAATGTTTTGCATTTTTTATATGGCGTCGTGCCTTAACGTTTAATTAATAAACCGTCAATTTTCAGATTGGTATAATATGTAATTCTTGTATTAATGAAATAGAAGCAGAATCCTTTGGCACACTTGCCCAGCGTTATTCGTTACTATCCCTGGGGTCTTCAGCGGGTCGGTTGAGCAAAGGGTAGTTGGTTCGCCTTCCTTTCTCGGGGCATTGCCAACTCAGCCAAACCATTACAGTTGTAACTTTTCAGTTCGGAGAATCAATGGCTATACAGCGATGCTCTCTCGAATATCTGATCGGATCATTTCAAGGCAGGTGAGCACACAGGCCCGCGGTTTGTCTCGGAAAACGCGTTTCAGCCGCTTGTACCCGGGATCTAAGATTTTCCACGCTCAGGTACACAATATTCATAAGTTGTACGAAGTGGCAACAATTTCAAGCTAGTGTTATTTCTGTTATTATTTGATCGCTGAGGCCATTCTTTATTTGGTCACACCATTCCACCTTCCTGTATGTAAATTGATATGCGTACTGAATCGCCTTTCGGAATGATGCATTGTCGGCAGTCGGCACTTCGTCAGTTAAGGTCGCATACTGTTTTGCAAAATTTAACACAGACTTGTAGCAAGGCAAAGTTTTATACCTGTTGCAACTTCTATTGGAGGATTCCACTTGGACAGGTAGGCTTGCATTCAATGACTTTCAGTCAGGTAGTGTCCTCCTGGTACACCGATCTGCGCGCTTTTCGCGATATCGACCCTGAGTAGAGTAGCTTGACGAGAATCCAACTGTCCAGTCGATAGTTTGCGACCTCATTAGCTAGCTACTTCTCTTTTCCTCTGTATTAGGATATGTTCCAATTTCTGACTGTCAGCTCTCATTGTTTGTATCATTCCAGTGTAACCTTATCTAAGGTACCATAATTTCATCGCGCTCTCTGTCTCCTCCGTTTTGAACGCGTAGCTGCTCATGCTGTGTTGTATTTTCATCTTTAAGCAAGTCTTCGGCAGCCATCGCCATGCTGTTACGCCCCCTCTGCAGGCGTGAAGCAATTTGTGATGCAGACTTTTCATACTCATCCCTTAGTTCCCCACTGGCCTGTAGGGTCCTTTTATGACCCTTGCGGAGGCGAGGTCAGTATAGCGTGCCATGGGGGCAGCACGGTGAGGGACAGTTGGCTAAATTTGGCAGAAGACTCGCCACGGTTTCCAATCCTCATCATTTTTTATACGGGTTTCCGACTGGTATTTTCAGAGTTTCTGTTCATTATATTGTCGAATATCGGTATCATTAAAGAAGTCTGAATAGTATACGTTAATATTTTGATAAAGTTGGCATTCAATGGCATGCAAAACTTCGGTTTGAAAAACTGATATTTGGCTTTACACCTTCGTTAAATTTTTTTACTTTATGTTAGAAGCTGCATTTCAAGTAAATTTAATAGTTACATAATCAATCATCCTTCCAAATATTCGTTTTGCCATAATTGCTTCTTAGTGTGTGTGGTGCTATGGGAAGCGATCCTGGTCAAAACTGTGGTATTTTAATACATGCCAGCGTGAGATGTGCGTTGCACGAAGGCTGTATAATTACTCCTGATGAAAAGTGTGCAATGTGCAAGTATAGGTCCCAGCGGAAGCAAAAGTAAAGGGTAATTTGTTCGTCCCCTGCAGCCGGAAAGATTCCGAGTCTTGGATTAGGCAGATTTAATTCACGGTTGCCAACTTCACACAATTCTTCCTATAACCCGTAGAATGCATTTTGCACCAATAGGTTGTAATTGATTCAGTGTTCGTATGTCACTCTTATTTTGGGTGAGTCATCAGTTATCATTTGAATAAGTAAATGTTCGGAATGTTTTGTGTCGCGGTCACCTCGCTGCTGGCAATTCTTGTTCCCCGTTGCAGGCGTAATATTTCGATGTTTAGTTTTGCAAGAAACAAAATGGGCCTGTCCGACGAAGACGTTAAGCGCCAGCTTCGGCAGATGATGGCATTCATCGAGCAGG